GTGAGAGGTAGGAGCATTAAGGCGCTTGGTTGCTCAAGTAACTCGGGCCTTCGAGTAGCAAGGTCTAGCGAGTAGTTAGAGTAGCGAGTTGATTCGTATTTGTGTAAAGTTATGTTCCTTTTTGTGAACCTCCATAATTTTGCACCTTGTTCCTGGCTCTCGAGCGTTTCCTTCCTTGCTCTCGAGATTGTTCATAAATACTTTGATTCTTTTATTTGACAGTGTCATAACATAAGGTCATCTTTGCTTTAAGGATTCCGACATAGTGTTCTTATACCTCCAAATCTTACTGTCTTTCGTTCTGCTTTCGGATTAACCATGTTTCAATCAGGATCGTCTGGGCGTGCAATGTTATTTCACCGAGCCTGGAATCTGGATTACTCCGAAGCGCAGCATCGTGATATGATGACGGGAAAACATATTGTCCGTGATGTTATGTGCAGAATTTGCCATGTAAGTTCCGCCTGAACCAATTTTGTCAATCTGTGATAGTAAACGAGAATGAAGTTGTGATTGCATAAGTTCCATTCAACTTACTTCTAGAAAAAAGTAGGATGGATGTACGAGTTTGCTATGGAAGAGTCACAACGCTATAAAGAAGCTCGTGTTATTCTTGAAAAAGCACTTATTGATGAAGAAGACGGCTTCCCGGATCCGGCAGGAGCACTCGAAACACATGAGCAGCCTCCTCCGTGAGTTTTATCTTTTTGGAATCATTTTTTTATTGATTTCTTATCTAATGGATCTGCCTTTCGCTCCACAGTTCACCCTCTGTTTTATATGTTGGATGAGTACATGGTACAGTTGTTCGCTGCGGTTGACGGGGCGTGTCAGAACGGCTGAGTTTGACGTGCCGCCAGCTGTTGTTGAGGCTTGCGAGCGACAACAACTGATGTGATGCAATTGATCCGAACGATATGATAGAATTTTGTGGGCTGCCAGAAAAAAAAGAAAAGAAACGGGCTGGTGCTGAGCCTAACCCACCCACGTGACACGCCTTATCATCCGCATCGAACAATTAGAAACAAGCAGAACAGAATATTGGAAGAAGAAAACACTCCAAACACTGATGGTCCGTTTCACCTGTTATCCCCAGACGAAGCAAATACTGTAGGTAGTTGTCTAGACGGTCCTTTCTCACCTGTTGCGTTTCCGCTGTGTTCCATAACAGCCCCCCCCGATAACAGCATACGCCTTCTCTGGCATAACGAAACCGAGCTATTACCATGCAACTGCAGTCGCATGTTACCTAGTTCGCATGCGGACGGCGGGCCTTCAGCCAGATGAGTGCTGTCACCCCGTCGGAGCCGTTCTCTTCTTCTTGTTAATGCGCGCAAAGCGACAAAAAGTGGTACTAATTGAGTAATACGAACGATATGATACAGTCATATCACTTGACCGCTTTAACAACTGGTGGAGAACGTGTTTGGCATCACGCCAAACTCATCTCGCCTGACACGCCCAACCTTCTGTAGCGAACTACACTATAAATCGCTCGAGATTTCAGTAGCATCCCCACAATTTAATTTCTCCGGCATCATTATTACTAACATACTGCATGCATCCTATGATGCTCATGATGAAGTATAGTTAAGGGCTTGTTGTCAGCAAATGATAGACTTTGTTGAACAAGCATATGAATTGTTCACAGACTCCTCTAAAAATATGGGGTAGTGATTCGAGTAATTAACAAATTACACGTGGGATTCAAAACCGTAGACTGCTACTAAGCAATGGTTGAGTTCCCAAAAAAGGAACAATGAACGAGCAGAATAGGCGGTGTTAGCAGCCCGCTTGAAGCGGTAGTCAATTTTTGTCGAGGGTGTTGAGGACTCATATTCTCTTATCTCGGTCATTTTTGATGACTTTTGGTGAAGAGGATTGAAGGTGAACAATTCTTGTGATAAATTTTCTCCTATTGTCTGGCCGTTTCAGTATCGATTCATGGAGACATGAATCGTGATTGGGGGTGCCATCCTTCTATATGATGAAATATTGGTGAACTTGGGCTTTGTGGTCCTTCCAAAACTCATGTAAGAACATATCAAACTATTATCGCTTTCTGATTTCCAGATCTCCCAAATTCGAAACATTCGGAGGACGTCGCGGTATTCGCCTTGAACGCTTTGTCACGATCCGACTCTGGCCTGGCCACCAGTGCACCTGCTGCTCAAGGGACTTCTTCTGCCGTACGGGAGTCGCCCTGACTACTTTTCGAAATAATCACCTTTTGAAGTGTGCTCATGTGTCCCATCTACCATC